GACTCACCCAAGATCCAGAATCTGCATACCATCAACCAGCCCCGCCTTCTCGACGTAGGTCCGGAGCATGGCGACCTCGGCCTGCGCGAGAGTCTCGCCGCCCTTGGGGTACAGGCAACTCGAGTACTTCATGCGCGGGCCTAGGCAGGCGGCTAGGACGCCCGTGCCGACCTCGTAGTGCTGCGCGTTGGCCGCGGCCGCCTCGACGGCGATGGCGCGCGACCGGAGGCGCGCGATGAAGCCCATCTTGCGCTCGCAGTCGGCCGCCGCCGACCCCGTGCGGAGCGACGCTAGCCGGTCCGCGAGCTGCCGCCGGATCCCCACGCGGATCACGGCGTGCGGGAGGTAGCCGCCGTCCAGGATCCAGTCTGGCCGGGTTGTTGGGTGTCCGGTCAGCAATGGATATATGGTGGTAGGGCGTGTTGGCTATTGGCCGAAAGAAAAGCACCATCAAAGCCAATGAACCAGACTCACCATAATTCATCTCCATGTCACCAGTGTACCCGACAGCTCGTGTGCTAAAGAGTATATTGCAAGGCAGGCCTTTGTTGTCCGCTGCTGCTTGAGCTTGAGAGATTGAAGACTGCGTGGTTGGTAAACATTCGAGATGCTGGTTCCAATGCCGCTCTGTCTCGATTGTGTTTCCAATTACCGTGGCCTGCTCCAAACCCCCAGGGCAGCTTAAAGCGTACTAGACAGGCCTCGATGCATGCAGGCGCTGCGACTCATGGTTACATCATACAAAACAGCATGTAATCGGCCGACGTCCGTGTCAAGGCTCGTCCATGGCACATGTTGTCGATGTCACCGGAAAAAATGATAAGGATGGGAGATTACAATGTTGTTCCTGATGTAAGGATGTTGATGGACGGAGGAATAATTCACCAACATAATCAGACAGTTCCGGCATGCCACCTTCAATCTGCTAGGTATTCGTATGCCCGCGCCAAGAATGGCGCCACGATATATCTGTGAGAACAATGCTTTTATCGTATAGTACGCACCCGTCTGTTGTCCAATTCTATACATCTCGTACTCGGCCTATACCCTCGGCTTGTCGGGTCCGAACGGCCAGAGCCACCGAAAAAAAAAAAAAAAACATGTTAGTATGACAATGACAAGCCAGCACAGTGAAAGTGAGCCGCCACTGCCGCGTCAGAACCTCATTCGTTCCTTGATGGCCTTGTACTGCTTCTTTGTCTTCTTGGGCTTGCCCGTCGTCATTTGCTTCGCCCGCCCGATTACCTGGGCCACCCTGTTGAACACATAATGCTCTCCTACCCACGCGATGGCTAGGTAGACAAACCCAAGAGCGACGAGGGTGAGCTTGAAGTCCCAGCTGATTTTGGTGAGCTGCATCACTTTCTCAACCCAATGCGCTGGCCAGAGCACCATGTACGCAGTGATAAGCCATGCGATGGATATCGTCGCAACAAACGGCCCTAGATCGATGCCGGTGTAAGTTTACGGGACACATTTAACCACCCACCTGACTAGAATGGGTGCGACGTCGTCAACACTTACAATTCTTCAGCATGTCCTGCCGAAACGGCCGTCCAGCATTGAGGACCACGCCAGCAAGGATGTATTCGAAACACGACACAAGAAACAACGTCGTGTTTTCCGAGTTCTTGATGTTGGACTTGTTGTGATGCACCTTGGGTGGTATGAACCAAGGCTTCTCTCGTACGGTGAAAAAGGCGATGCCCTGGATGAGGATGCAGATGCACATCTGGCCCATAAGTGGTGTCAAGACCTTTCGAGAGACCAGATCGGCCGTGGGTCTCTTGCTGCACAGTTGAGGATATGGTCCAGCCCAGCTCACTATATAAAGTTAGCCATCATCAAATACGTGCCTTTTCTTCTTTTGCATCTGGAGCAACGCCCATGATATAGTACTTACTGAAAACAGCGATAGGCAAAATGAGAGCGAGATCGATATACAGGAACTGTTGTAACGAATGTGTCAACTAGCCCTCCCGCTTCTTGGGTCGCGTCTTCTCCGCTTCCTAATAATAGCGGTGAGAATTGGACATACCTGGAAATCCCCAAGATTCGAAGCCGATGCATACAAAAAGCTGACCGATGTAAACTGGATGGCCGAGTACAGACTCATGTACTTGAAGCAACTAAAGCTTGTCACAAGCGAGGCGCGTCCTTCTCTGATAACTTCGGGCACGCATCTGATGTCAAAGACCCTCGATGTGAACGGCGCAGCTACAGAGGCCTCGGCCTCGGAGAGCGAGATGCCGACGTCTGCAGCCTTAAGAGCACCACAGTCGTTGGCGCCGTCGCCGCAGAAGCCGCAGCAGTAGTCTATACTCTGAAGCTTCTCAACAAGCTCGTGCTTCTCGTCAGGCGACATTCGGGCAAACACCTTGCCGCAAACGAGCATCTATAAAGCCGTCAGTTTTATTTGTCAATGGGTTCGTAGGAGCTTGCACTTCCTGTAACCTACCCGGTGGAGGAATTCGGGGCGAGCATAGTCCACAACCCAGCGGAATACGTCGCCGCTCACCGCGATCGAATATTCCCGCATGTTTGCAATCTCGTAGGGGTTGGAGGCGTCTGCGTCAGGTGGTGGAGGCAGGGGCAGCAGTGTCTGATCATCCAGCCGATAGAGGTGGTTGTCGATGCTTTCCCACGCGAGTTGAGAGTTCGGATCCCTGGAGTGACCTTCTACAAACCTTGGGACGAAGCAGGGCGCCGTCTTGTGAATGAGGTTACACTCCCTTGCCACGCTGATGGCCGTCAATATGTTGTCCCCGGTCACCATAACGGTCGCTATCTGCGACTCCCGCAGCTCGTCAAGAACGGCCGTCGTGGTCGGCTTGAGTTTGTTCTCGAAGATTATGAAACCCGAAAAATCGAGTCCCGATTCGACTTCGTCGCGCCTCATCTTCTGTGCCTTGACCCAGTTGAGCTTTTTGATGTGCTTGGTTGCGCACCCAATCACGCGGTAACCCTTGTGAGTGTAGTACGAGAGGAGCTCATCATAATCCGTCGGGAAGCTCTCAGGCCTGCAGATATCCTTCATGCACTCTGGCGCTCCTTTGACGTAGATGTCGCCACTTTGGTGGCCAAAAGTCTTGACGATGACACTGGCCCTGCGGAGCTGCGACACAAACTCAAAAGACTTGAGGACACCCAGCTGGAAAGCCACAAGGTTTCCACTTGCGTCCTTCCAATCCAGCGTTTGCTTCATCTCAAAAGGGGGCCGCGCAGTAGACGGAGACAGACTCCCGGGCTCCCCATCCGCCTCCTCACCCTGGCCGCCTTCATCGAAAGACCATCGTGTGAACTCGAACATTTTGAGATCTAGCGGATCGCCCACCAGCTCTCCGTCTACTGACCGAAGTGAGTGGCAGGTAGCCATTGTGAACAGGGCAGCCTTGCGGTTGTCCACATTATCCTGAGAGGCATTGGCCTTGCCAGCATTGGCCTCTGCAAGCAAACTTGGATCCGACAGGGCGGGTGAAAGCTGCTTGGTGCCATTTTTGGATATCACGACTCTGACACCCAGGATATCGAGGCCCTCCTCTGTCAGCGTGCCGGTCTTGTCAAAGCACATGATGTCGAGCTTGCCACCGACATTGACACGCTGAGGGCTGATACAGAATATCTTTTTTGCCTTGAGTCGACTGAGAGCAAAGTTTGTTCCTATCTGGAGCGTGGCCGGGAGGGCAGGCGGGACAACGATGGTGATTAGATCCAACGCGCGCACGATGATGAGGCGCCAGGCCAGACCGAGGCGGAGGAAGTTGATGAAGGAGGCTACGAAGCCCAAGAGGGCAACACAGGCCATGACGGATATGTACCGGAACGAGTCCCGGTAAAACTTGAACCCTGACGGTTTAGGGAAGAGCATGGACCGGACGAGTGACCCCTTCGTCGTGTTGAACCCAGTGCGGACCACCATGGCCAGCGCAACAGCCTCACTCTCGCCGGGAGGCCGCCTGGCACGGATCACCTTGGTGCCGCAGAAGAGGAAGTGGCGCGCCAGCTCGGGCGACAGGGTGGCAGCCGCCAGGTCAAGGTCGTGCAGCGTCTCATCCGTTGCCGGTATTTTGGACACGGGCACAGACTCGCCCGTTAGCATACTTTCGTTGACGATGCAGTCTCCGCCAAGCAGCAGGCTGTCGGCAGGAAACTGGGCTAGGTTTGGATCGCTGATCTCGTAAATGTCTCCCGGGACGAGATCTCCAGAGGCAATGTACCGCCAAAACCCATTCCTTAGGACGCGCACGTCACACTCGAACCGGGAGATCTCGCGTAGACGGCGCATGGTCGCCCGTGTTTCGACAAGAGTCGCCACGATGCTGCCAAAAGACATGACGAAGATGGCAATGGCGTAATAGTAGTATTCGTCTGCGGCCCATAGCGCCAGGCTAGCAATCTGGAAGACGTAAAAGGGGTGAAAGACCTCATCGACCAGCAGACGGAAGACGGACTTTTGCTCAATGTCTATCAGATTGGCGCCAAACACGATATCGCGGTGGCTCTTCTCCTCGCTGTCGATGCCCGAGCGGATGGTGCGCACATCGGTCCAGTTGGGGTCTTTCCAGCCGTTGCAGAGAAGGAACTTATCCCGGAGCGGCTGAAAGTAGAAGCGGATGTAGCGGTAGTCCAAAACGCGCAGCTCAGTCATGATCGGGTCAGAGTCGTCCTCGAGCGCGTAGGCCGACAGTTTCCCCAGCTGGCCGAAGACGGTCGACAGGGGCCGGCCGTAGGGGCGGCTCTTGACGTCCATGATAGTCATCTCACCCCACTGGTTTTCGATGACGACCCATTGGCACTCACGGAGCGGTGACGACCGGCCCACGACCTTCACGTACCACCGTGGCAGCCAGCGGAACAGCAGCCATCCCAGACCAAGCGTGGCGAAGCAAATCGAGACGTACGCGGCCATGCCCAGCGGGCTCGTCCGGAAACCAGCCACAACAATGGTCAGGTCTTCACTAGCCACGTAGAGCTTCTGGCTGTGGCGCCCCATGCCATACGCGCTCCCTTCGGTCATGGCGCTATCTCGGCGGAGCAGTCTCGAGTTAACAGAGGAGCGCGACTGCGTCGAAGATCGGCGGTGCAACACATAGTCGTTTTGGGCAGCATCGCGCTCGAGGTCGGTCGAGTCCTCCTCGTCATCGCCTTCCGGGTGGAAGGGCATCTCGTCTAGGTCCTCGGCGTCGGCCGCGCCATCGGCCATCACATGTTCGGTCTGGAGCAGCTCTTCTTCATCTTGGTAAAAGGCGAAGCTGGTGACCGAGTCGGCGCGCGATCGGCGGTGCGCAAAGGCAGATACGCTAGTCGGAAGGCTCTCGGCCATGGGGCCGGAGTAGAGCTACATGAAGGCGACGGGCCAAGCACGGCAAGGGGCATCAGTCGGCATCCAGGCGTGGCGTATGGGCGGGCGCACGTCCCATCAACGGCCACAGATGCCGGCGGGGAGGCAGTGAGCCTGTGGGGGTCTGGAAATATCCAAGCAAGCCTACCTCGTCCTGCGCCATTTCAACGTCTTCGAAGACGCTGGCGCTGCTGGGATTGGAATTGAGGCGATACAGACTGCGGCCGCCATTCTGGCGGGACGATCCCTCGCCGGCGATCGACTCCCGGTCGTGGTCCATGGTCGCGGCGCGTGCTAGCTCAAGTATACTGACTGCTCGATCCGAGTGGCCGGACGGGCGTCGGTGTTGAGGATCAATTGGGTGCGTAGGCGTGGCATGGAGGCAACCGCGCCAAGAGGGATACGGACGGACGCTCTTGCCAGAGGTTAGGTGCCAGCCTACCTTGCTGCAGCAAAGAGGATTGAGACACTCTCGAGTTGAGGCGGTGCGAGGCCAGATTGCATGGACGCGTCGGTTGAGTGGTGTGAAGTCGTTGTAGTGCGAGGGCGCGGCTCAGTCCAGCTCATTACCACGTGTGGCGGCCGATGCAGCGACTCGTTTAGGCAAGACACGACAGGGCGCCTTTTTTTTTCGCAGAGGGGCGCGACTAGACTGCACCGGTATGACGTCGGTGGGTAGCCGGCGAAGGGGCCCTGGACTTTGCGGGCCCCCTGCCAGGAAGGCACAGCGCAGTCGGGTTTGATACTCCATATGTGCTCGCTGCTGACCAACGTCCTGCATGGAAGCTGCCAATGTTCGGATGGAACAATCGAAGAACTGGACTGCACCAAGGTCTGAGCACCACCTGCAAATGTTAGTGGCTCGCATATTATCTCCAGTACACCGTCAAAGCCCTCGTTTTTTTTTCTTTTTTTCAATCTGTTAGCTTTGGTCTTGATTTCTTTTTCTTTTTTTTTTAATTTACACTATAGAGCCTCCCTCCGTCTCACCTCAAGCCAGGCCCAGCTCTGGCTAGGCATTCCAATGGACTGGACCCGAACGCGCGGATCAAAACGCCCACAAACACCCTTAGTGGAGACCGGGGTGCTTGGTATCGAGGAAAGTCCAGAGTCCAATCTCGTCTCGCCATCACTGATCCTGGCTGCTCACCGTATCAAGCTGCCACCACTGTCCATGCCAACCGCCAGCCAGGCAGAGATCTCAGGCGGTGTCGACGCTCCGTCGTTTGATAGGTTGTCCACCAGCGGTTGCGCACGTAGGTCCAGCCAAGTCATGAGCAGCATCAAGATGGTCTGCCATCGGGGACAGCAGCCGACCCCCACCTTTGGACGACGGAACGCGCATGAGTTGGGTTGAGTCATGATTCGACGAGCTTTGCGCGTTGTCCAGGGGCCCAGAACCGCTGGAGAGCGGCTACGCTTTCGCCTCCGCCATTCCGACGATGCCGCCATGCTGGAGGCCACACGCAAAACGTCCCGAACTCCACTGCAAATTGTGCACCCTCACCGCTAAACGCCGTCGGCCGAGTGGTCTCGTTTGGCGGACATGCATCGGCGGCCATGGCCCACATCTGCCCATGGGCAGATCCCGGCACTGGAGACAAGGGAAAGAGGGGACGAAGAAAAAAAAAGTTGGGTCATGATGACAGAGGCAAAGCTCGGCGCCAGACATATTGAGGACGAGTCGTGATCTTTAGAGGCCGCGCCGATCTAGGAGCGGCGCAAGGTAGACTGGCTGCCTGCCTATGCAAAACTGCAGGAATGAATACATTTGCACGGTTCAGTTGTGGCGATTTTTTTGTGTAATTTTCATCGGACGGTGACCATAACGAGGCAAGAAAAAAATTCGTCAGGAAAAAAACAAAGCACTTCCGGCTGACATCCATCAATTGATCGAGCGAGCAAACAAAACCGACTTGTTGCACTGACCAATCCGGTGCAGCCAGTGGCTGTTCAGGCCCCCGTCGTCTCAACAGAAGCTGGCGCTGCGGTCACAAAGTTGGGTCGGGTCGCTAGGCCGAATCGAAATTTCCCAATCAACAATCATAGGGCGGTATCTGCTGCAACCCCGCCATTCCCACTTTCACCACTTCATCTTTTTCCTCCCGAAAAGAACAAACCCAACAACCTTCTCTCCCACAAACCCACGTCGGCACCCTCATTCGTTCGTTCTGCTGCTTGATATAACCAGAGTCTTCTGCAAATCGCACTGCCCGGAACAGAGCACCTCGACCAGAACATTCAGCCATCCCGTCGGTCGTGCCCAGCTAGCAGCCATGGCCGAGCCGATCCCCAACAAGCGTGCCGACCCGGTCGCGCCGTGAGTATTCGCCCTTATCTTGGCCTCTGGCCTATTGTCGCGATTCCTGCCCGCTGACGGCCTGCTGTGTAACAAACAACAGTACTCCCCAGAACACCCCTTTGAACACCGCGCCCATCACCTCGCACGCCCAACAGCCAAATGTTGCCAGCATCAAGGAAGGTTCGTTCATTCTCGGTTGATACCCGGTCTCAAAGCCTGGTTCTGCCTCCCACTCGGTCTTTGGTAGATCTTTTCTCCCGGGAGGCCTGGGCTCTACTGAGCTCAACTGGGCCGGCCTCGGCCTCCCTTTCATTGCCTCTGTGCCCGTCTCGTCACTTACACGGTTTTGACCCACCTGCAGAGGAGCTCACTGCCGCCTCCATCTTCGCCCAAAACCCCAAGCTTGTTGAGATGATCCAGGGCCGCCTCGGCGGGCTCATTGGCCGATCCTCAGGCTACATCGAGTCGCTGCCACCGCAGATCAAGCGCCGCGTCGCCGGCCTCAAGGGAATCCAGAAGGACCACTCCAAGCTCGAGGCCGAGTTCCAGGAGGAGGTTCTCCAGCTCGAGAAGAAGTACTTCGCCAAGTTCACCCCTCTATACCAGAAGCGTGCAGCCATTATCAACGGCAAGTCTGAGCCCACGGATGCCGAGATCGAGGCCGGTGAGCAGGATGAGGATGAGGTGAAGGAGGAGAAGCCCGCGGCCGAGAAGTCGGCCGATGCTGGCGCCAGCTCGGCCGATTCGAACGTCGCCGGTATCCCGGAGTTTTGGCTCTCAGCCATGAAGAACCAGATCTCGCTCGCCGAGATGATCACGGACCGCGATGAGCAGGCCCTCAAGCACATCACCGACATCCGGATGGAGTACCTCGACAAGCCTGGTTTCCGTCTCATCTTTGAGTTTGAGGAGAACGAGTTTTTCACAAACAAGACCATCTCCAAGACTTACTTCTACCAGAACGAGTCCGGTTACGGCGGCGATTTCATCTACGACCATGCTGAGGGCGACAAGATCGACTGGAAGGCGGACAAGGACCTGACTGTTCGCATCGAGTCCAAGAAGCAGCGCAACAAGAGTAAGCCATAGCACGCATGATTTCAACTAGGCACAGATTCCCGCTAACCCCTTCGCCTTTATAGACACCAAGCAAACACGCACCGTCAAGAAGATTGTGCCCACCGAGTCCTTCTTCAACTTCTTCTCTCCCCCTAAGGCCCCTACCGAGGACGATGACGATGCGACCTCGGATATTGAGGACCGCCTTGAGCTTGACTACCAGCTTGGCGAGGACATCAAGGAGAAGCTCATCCCAAGGGCTATCGATTGGTTCACCGGCGAGGCACTTGCCTATGAGCAGATGGAGGAGGAGGACCTTGAGGATGAGTTCGACGAGGATGACGACGAGGATGATATGAGCGAAGACCACGACGATGAGGACGAGTCGGACGATGATGACGTAGGTTTCATGGCGCACCGTTTCTCACTCTTGTGTACTAATCGACGGCTAACCTCTCGCCAACTACAGGACGATGGCTCCAAGCCGAAACAGGAGGCCGCTGAGTGCAAGCAGAGCTAAAGTGGCTGCCTTGCCATCCATTGACGGCAATCCCCTTTGGCAAGAGCTGTTCCCCGCGGTAACCGGCATCAACCTCGACTGTTGCGTGGGTAGTCAACGCAGAAAACAAGCCCCCTTTTTATGTGGATGTATAGCTTGAGCATGGGTTTCCCCGATAGACCGTAATTTTTCACACCCCAAAGAACCCCCCAAAAAAAAGAGCAAAAAGTCAAAACCCTGTGGTTTCGCCGCCTGGCCAGAGGCGTTCCCCATCCCCCTCCCGTTTCCTCTCTACTTTGGCACACATGGCTTCTCCTGACTTGGGACCTGGTATTGGCCCTGTACGATGTTTTCGATGTGTTTGGCTTTTCCGAGTTACACTCTTCCCCTTGAACAACACGTTGACGAGAATACACAGAGGGTTGTTTGGGTTGAGGGCGGTGCCGAGTTGGGCTATCGCCATCGTGTGTTGTTGTTCAAACCGGCATTATACACACTAGCTGAACCTCACCCGCAGACTTCATCATTGTGTTTTGAGCCATCGCTTAGCTCGCCGCTATCATTGCCATGGATGAAAGCTAGGTAGATAAGAAAGCACACTGAGCATGTGAATATCTGACGTTTCCCTGGGGCTGCACGTTGATGAGCGCGACTAGTCAGGGCTGCTAGTGGAGCAAAAAAAAAATGGATCGAGAGCCAGAGAGAGCGCTAACGGGCATGGCCAGCCGTCCCTGGGAAAGGACCGAAAACAAGAATCCCCGGCGCCCCTGCGGGAGTGGGGCGAAAATCGGCCGGAGATGCCCGCTTCATTGACTCCGTACCCGCACATCTCTCAAGTGCCGGCTGGCCGACCCGAGGATTAACGGATAGACTGGGAGACAAGATGCTGGTTAAGCGTTTTTTTTTTTTTTTTTTGGGGGGTTTTTTGGGGGGTGGGGGGTCGGGGGT